TCTAGCTCCCGCGGAGAGGAGGCGCAGTCTGCAGATTTTTAAGGGCAAAGGGTGGCCGAAGGGCTGCTCTGCGGTGAGAAGGCGGCGAGAACCCGGGGCGCACGCTCGCTATCTGCAGCTCCTCTTGCGATGTCTCATCCTGCCCCTTTAAGGCAGCCTCCAGTTTCCCTGTTCCCCCAGGCCCGCCGGGGACTAGCCCAGATGATTAAAGCCGCGCCACTTCCCCTCCTTTCAGGCATACCCATCCCTCACACCCCGGGGTGCGTCCAGGCGCAGGAGACTCCAGCCTCCCGGCTAGAACAGCTTGTCTCCCTTAGAAAGAGCCCTGGAGCACCTGTGGTCTGCGAGGTGGTGGCAACAACAAAAAGATTCGTCTCTGAGTAAGAGGATGATGTCAGTCTCCAGAAGGCTGAGGCTCCCGACCCGGGAAGACTCCAGGAGACCCAAGGGCAGGCTACATGCGGAAGTCTGGGCCACACCTGGTGTGGCTCACCTCAGGATCACGACCAGTCCCGCCGGTCGCCTTCCTGTTGTTGGATTTATTTTCAAGGAGGGCTGGGGCCACCCAGGAAGGGTGGGTGACCTGGGCAGTTTACACAACATCCCCAAGCTTCCTTTGTTCATTTAATGCACATTTGTTGAGTGCTTACTGCTCTACAGGCCTCCGGATGGGCCTGGGCTCCCAGAATACTGTGGTGAATAAAACAGACATGGAAATGTCAGTTTCCTCATCTGTGAAATAGGTAGAGAGATAGAATGCCTGCCATCCCACGGAGGAATTTCACGCAATATAATACAGGCTTCAGCGATTTGCATTAAAAGGCTTGTGAAGACTTAAATTTTAATAAAGAAGTTATAACATGTAAAAGTTGAATCTCTGTTTTTGCTTAAACATTACCATATTCAGGAATTATTATGGTTTGAAAGTACATTTAAAAAGGTTAGTTGAACACTGTTGGCAAATATAGGATATTATAATTAAAATAAAATCATTAAAAACTTGAAACAGAAAGTCTTCATTTGGTAGAGTCGACGACGGGAAGTGTCATCTGGTCCCACTTCCCTACCTCTTAACACCATGAGCAAATCTGCTCTCATCTGGGTAGAAAGTATTTAACGTTTGCTCTCTGGAAACCCTGCTCATGGCACATTAGAATTTACACTGTGGTCAATACACACACACACGCACACACACATGCACACACACATATATATATTGTTGTTTTGAGGTGGAGTCTTGCTCTGTCCCCAGGCTGGAGTGCAGTGGCGAGATCTCGGCTCACTGCTGCAACCGCCGCCTCCCAGGTTCCAGTGATTCTCCTGCCTCAGTCTCCCGAGTAGTTGGGACTACAATTTTTGTATTTTTAGTAGAGACGAGGTTTCATCATGTTGGCCAGGATGGTCTTGATCTCTTGACCTTGTGATCCACCTGCCTCGGCCTCCTAAAGTGTTGAGATTACAGGTGTGAGCCAGCGTGCTCACCCTGTGGTCAAGATTTTATGTATGACCTTGAATTATGGCTCTATCTATTTATACCAACATGGGCTTTTCTCTTTTCAGTTGAAAATATCTGCATTGTGCTAAAGAATTCAACTGGTTTTAAGCTTTCTTCTTGGCCTAGGTTAATTTTTAAACTTTTAATTATATGTAGTGACTTGTGTGTATATAAATGTGTATTATATATACACACACCCATACATATACACATTATATATAGATAAGGGCACAAATCATGAATGTATAGTTGATGAGTTTTCGCAAACTGAACACACCTGTATACAGAGTATATGAAGACAGTAGTGTATAAAGAGTGTCCAGTTGAAGAAACAGGACATTGCCAATCCTCAGAAGCCCCTTAGTGACCCCTTTTAGTTATTCCTGTCAGTTTTGATCACCGCTGCCGGCCCATCCTGCTACCCCAGGCCCAGGATAACCATTATCCTATCTTCTAACTCCTTAGAGGGGTTTTGCTGGTCTTTGTACTTTATATAAATGGAATCAGACCATGTGTATTATTTCGCGTCTGGCTTCCTGTGTTCAACGTTATGTTTGTGAGTTTCATCCGTATTATGTGTCCTAGGCTTTTTTTTTTTGAGAAAGGGTCTTGCTCTCCCCCAGGTCGGAGTGCAGTGGCACTATCATGGCACACTGCAGCTTTGATGTCTCAGGCTCAAGTGATTCTCAGCCTCCCAAGCTGGAACTATAGGTGTGCACCACCACGCCTGGCTAATTTTAAAATTTATCTTTTGGGGAGACAGAGTCTCACTTTGTTGCCCAGGCCGGTCTTGAACTCTTGGGCTCAAGCCATTCTCGCATCTTAGCCTCTTAAAGTGTTGGGATTGCAGGCATGAGCCACCATGCCCGGCTGTCCTAGGCTTTTAATTTAATTTTATGTTTTACTTATTACACGGTTACTGTTGTTCGTGTGACACAGGTCCAACCCATCCCCTAAGATCCTGGGTTAGAAGTGGGTTAAAAAGTGTATTCCGAACTTCAAAATTTTATACATATATATTAAAAAAATGCACACCCTTTGCCCCCTTAAAAAACAAGCGTTCACTGAGTCTGTTGTTTAATTCATTCATGCATATTAATCACCAATGGATTATTTATTCACTAGTCACTGTATTGCTGCGA